TTACATACCAAAGATAATAACTCAAATCATGTTTAAGATGGTAGCTTATTGTCAAATCTCAATGTCAGAACAACTTATGCCGGTGAAAGGAAAACCGCAAGGAAAATAAGAATCAAAAAGGCAAGCTATTTTTTTCCTTCCTTTTCTTTTAGTTGCGCTGAATAATGAACATGAAATACAATTGATCAAAATTAAGAAAAACATCCCCAAATATGTAAGAACATGTAATACAATTGAACCATAATTGTCTAGCTTAACAATTATTTGAATAAACATGGTTTACAATTCAACAGCTCTGTAATAAATGACAAAATACAGTCAAAGAAAAAAAAATTAACATGGAAGATGAAAGTAAAGCTTTATTACCCAACGTGAAATAGAGGCAGAGCTAGGTATGATCGATATCTTCCAGGTTGAAGAAGCAATTCAAACCTGCGAGGTTGACAATGTTAGAACCCGACCAGAGGAAATAACGAACTTAAAGAAAGGGAACAAGAAGACCGTGGTCGTGAAGTCCAGGCGAAGATATCTACGGCAGATATCGACGAACAACCCGACCCAATTGACACCTGGTAGTTGTGAATATGGGCGATAGAAACAAGAACCTAGGGTTTCTTGTCTGAGCGAGAACGATGACCAAATGGGACTGAGAGGAAGATTTTGGTTATATACAGCTAAAGATGTAAATACATTGACAACCAGGGGTATAAATGCCATTAGACAGACTTATTTTTGGACAAAATGGGAATGTCAAAAGAGGGATTAAAATATCCGCCCTCATTGGGCGGACAAAATGAACCTGCCAGCTAAAAAAAAGCCGTGGGTCCCACCTGCCACACCATTACACATCAGATGAATCACAATCCCTATATCACGTGGTAAACATAGGATAAGGTTAGTTAACCAACCTTATCCAATCCCGTCCACCCTAGTAAACGAGCCCTCAGAGTATATCCATTATTTTTTAAATAAAATTTTACTTTTGAATATAATACTTTAGAGCATGCTTGGATGCAAGATTTCCCAAAAAATATCAATCATTTTTAAATAGTCATTATTTTTAACTCAAATTTGACTCAACTTTAACTTAACACCTTATCATCATTCATCAGTATTATCAATATAATTAAATAATACAAATCAATCATTCTTACATATTACATCAATTTTAATTCACTCTTCATCCACACACACGTAATTTTGACTAATCACCACTTCACATCATCTCTCTTCTCCTTTTACATCATATATACTTTAATTATTTTATTTTAATTATTATTTTAATATAAACTCAAATTCTACTAACAACTACTATACCACATCTTTTTCAAAATTAACCAAACAAAACAAAAAAATCTTATATCCAAACATCCCTTTAGTGTTTTTTATATTAGTTATAAATAATATTGTAAATGAGTCGAGCCAAGCTCGATCTCTTATTAAGTCAATCCAAGCTTGACTCGTTCACTAAATGAGTCGGTAACCGATGGCTCAAACTTTACATGTTTATCAATATTAACGAGTTGAGCTCGAGCTTTAACGAGCCGAACTATAAAAAAAATATTTCAAATTTTTTATGTTTGAGTCTCAACAAGTCGAGCCGAGACTACTCGTTAACTAAACAAACTTTCAATGCAAGTTGAACCAAGTTCACGAGCGACTGCTTTCATTTAATTACAACTATAGTTATAAAAGGTTGTCCGAAAAAAAAAAAGTCTAAATTTCTAAATAATGTGAGGTATAAGAATCAAACACATAGGGCGTGCTTGTATACAAGTATATATATATATCTGCTCAAAACGAGTTTTTTTAGTTGATCATGGTTAATTTTAAAAAATGTGCTATGATTAGTTGTTAGTAAGATGTTGAGTTTATATTAAATAATATTTAACATAAAATAATTAGTTAATTTGATGTAAAAATATCATAGAGATGATGTGAAGTGATGGTTAGTTAGAATTATGAATAATGAATTAAAATTGATATAATGTATAAAAATAGTTGGTTGATATTATTTAATTATATTGATAATATTGAGGATAATAGAGTTGAGTTAGAATTGTGTGAGATTTTGAATATGAATTAGATATAAATTGAGTTATTTGATAAAGATAATTTTTATCAAAAAACATCAATAAAGATACTTTTTATCAAATAGTTCCACTCTTAATAAAGAGTGAGGAATCTTTTGAGAGCAGCAGTAATGACTAATGATTTATCAATTTAAGAGCAAGAAGTACTTTTATTTTCTTACACGGAGACTTGTCGAATCAAATTAATAATATATTTATATTGGCAGCAACTTGGCAAGTTGGATGCAGCCACCACCCATTTTCAAAATGGACGCCTCATTTGACTATTGTTTTGAAATATTTTTGGAAGAACATTATGATGTATATAAATTAACGCAGTCAAGAAGCTTCCTCTTATACAAAGATGGACAAACATTACATCGACTTACCGATGGCAAGGCTAGTGGGCCACAAAGAAATATGCCAATTTTAATAACAATATGTTACTTTTAAATTTTTATGCAAAACCACATAGCCACTACTAGTGTCCTAAAGTCGACTGCCTTATACAAAGTGAAGTTATTCTTTGCTTAGTGCTTGGTTATGCCAGACGTAAATTTGGTACTCTCGCTTATCTCTCTTATTTTTATTATTTGTCACTCTGATTTAATTGATCATTGATTAAATAAATATCGTTTTAGTTATTTTGTTCATATATTTTCACTTTTAACCCTCCATCTAATACACAGTTTCTCTTCATATCCCATTTTTCCATAGTTTCCTATAACATCCATTAAATAGGGTTAATATTGACAAGAAAAAAAAAATTAATTAGCATGTTGCTTCTAAAAACGACAAATAATAAAAATAGGAGGGAGTATATTTTCACTGATCTTTTGGGACAACGTGGTTTAGTTGACAACTAATACGACAATGCCTATATTTTGTGTGTGTTTATTTAATAATAATATTCAATGGTCATGATCAAGTCAATTTTGGTCAATCATTAATGGCAGTATAATTCATACACATTGTGATAAATGTATATATTTGACCAATTATTAATGGTATTTTAGTCATTATAAATCAGTCCAACTCATAATGTGGGACCCACCAGAAATCACCAACCCTAATTTATCTCTCTCTCACACACATTCATATGAAAAACACATAGTATATCTATATCTCTCTCTCTGCACCTACGCATATTCACAATATACACACAAACACACACTGAGGGCGCCGGCCACTTCGAACACCGCCGAGCCTCCAGTCGTCGACACCATATCCCGTCGGCGCCATCATCTCCGACAGTCCATTGCCGCGTCTATATCCCACAGCCGCCATCACCTCCGGTGCTCCATCGAGATAGCTCGTCGTCGCCAATTCATTGAGAGAGCTCGTTGGTGACGACGGAAGGGAAACCATAGGTTACGGAGCCGCAGCCGACTTCGGCGCTGGAATGTCGGCTGGGGGGTAACCCGATGGGAAAATTGTTGGCGTAGGTCCCGGCATCGGCGAAGTCGCAGCCGCGAGGAGATCCGCCGACAAGAGCAAGCAGGTGATGTCAGATGGCAGGCAACGGTGGCGTCTGCACAGAGAAGGGGGAGATGGCTGGGCCGCAGGCGACGTCAGGTGACTGACGACGGTACACAGACGGTCAGGTGGCTGACAGCAGGATGCGGGCAGCGTAGGGTGGCTGACGGCGGGACGCGGGCGGCTTCGGGTGGCTAATGGCAGCGGGCGGCGGGTGGTTGNTTTAACCAAAATAACCGAATTAAAGTATTATGTATATTTATAAATATACATAATATTATAAATATACTAACTACAATATTATAAATATACATAATAGTTTAATTTGATTATTTTGGTTACATCGTTTAAATGGCCAAAATGACTATCATTTGCATATTAGAGATTGCACGAACGCACATTAGCATAATATAAAAAAACAAATCTGATTATATCGGTAAAATTGCAACAAAGTCCTTATTACTTATCTAATTTTCAAAAATAAGCCCTCATGTACAAAAAAAAGAAACCAACAAAAAAAAAATATCAATACATCTTAAATTCTCTCTTTCACACATACTGTTCAGCCACCCGCACTGCCGCCAGCGTCCCGCCATCAGCCACCCGACGTCGTCTGCGTACCGCCGTCAGTCACCCAACGCCACTCGCGTCCCAACCGTCTCCCCCATCTCTGTGCAGTCGCAACCGTCACAAAATTTTGAAAAACAATAAATTTTAAATATTGTTATTAATTTTTCATATATGATATAGCGAATTAATCATTTCTCAACGTGTTTTTGTATGACATCCATATTGTATATATAAATAAATAAATTATTATATTGACCTCTGGAATATAAATTAAATTATTTACTAATATTAACTAAAAATAATAAAAATATTTATCAATTAAAAAAATTTATCTAATATGTGCATTATATAATGTGTCACAAAATTTAGTACATTATAGGAGAGTAAGTTGTACAAATAATGAGTGTCACTATCTGAATATAATAATGCACTTTTTTTAAACTTATTGAATTTTTTTTAATATTTTAAATTTAAATATAATTTTTTCAATAACCCAAGTTTTATTACTACAGCAATTACTCAATTCAATTTAAAAATATTATTTCATTTCGCCAATAAACACCGAAGATTTTTTCATCTTAGGATCCACGTTGATCTACGGTGAAATAAAAAAAGAAAAAGCAAAAAACAAAACCTACACACTTGTTCAGTTGTTTGGACTGACCAAAGGAAGGGCCAGTAGGTCCCCCCATCCAAATTGTCATGTCGTATCACATATCATAAACCAAAGGGTAAAACAGTCAATGGACCTAGGTCAGGGGTCTTGTATTCTTGTAAAATATTTCCAAATAAAAAAATTAAGAAAACGTCTGAATCATTTTTCTCCCTCTTGTTGAATTTTTCCTCTTTATAAATAAAATTATTCGCACGCTCCTTCCCCAATCATCCATTCCTCTTAAACCTATTCCTACAGTCTCCCAACGTCATCTCTCGATGGCTGAGCCGCTCAACGTCCGCCGTGTGATGTGGAAGAACCTCCTCATCAACAGGCTCCACATGCTGCTCAATGCGGCCGCGATTCTCGCCGTATTCTACTACAGATTCACCACTCTCCGCCGCATAATCCACACCGGGGAGACCCCACTCGTGCCCTACCTCGTCGTCATCCTGTCCGAGATTGTTCTCACCTTCCTCTGGATCCTGCACCAGGCCTATCGGTGGAGGCCTGTCAAGCGGACGGTGTACCCGGAGAGGCTGCCGGAGGACGCCAAGCTCCACCCCGTCGACGTATTCATATGCACGGCCGATCCCAGCAAGGAGCCGTCCCTGGGGGTGATGAACACCGTCATTTCGGCTATGTCGCTCGACTACCCGCCGGATAAGCTTGCCGTCTATCTCCATGACGACGGGGGCTCTCACGTGACGCTTCACGCCACGCGTGAGGCCTGGAAATTCGCAGGGTCGTGGATTCCTTTCTGCAGGAAGTACCAGTTGAAATCGAGGTGCCCCGAGCTTTACTTTGAAGGCAAGGAGAGTGCGGACGAGAAGTTCCTTGGGACCAGCGAGTTCGTGGCCGATAGGAAGATAATTGAGGTTCGTCGCTTGAATATTTGTTAAATTGATGGATGGCATTTGGTAAGGTTTACTTGTTTGATACTTTGACTTGAGTTACTATTGCTCCTTATTTTTTATTTGCAGAAAAAGTACAAAGAATTCCAGGAGGCACTAGAGAAGAATTCTGTCAACGCAGAGGGCTCTGTTAGCAGAGATCATTCGCCCACCATCGAGGTATAAAGTCTGTTGAGATAATATTTGTATATCTCATCATTATACTCGGATAGAAAGTCCTCCTATTTCAGTTAGGCGAATGATAAAGCTATCAGATGAATCTGCACTCAGAATCGTAAACCTTTTTCCTACAAGTTATTGTTGGTACTTTGTGCTCTTTTGTAGATTTCCTGTGTAATTAAATTCTGGTCTAAGAACGAGTTTCTGTGCTGTATTCATGGTCAAGCATTCTTCAAATCTTTTGGTCACAAGTGAGAATTTGATATTTTGAATATAATGCTGGTAACTTTGAATGCAGAACCATGACTCCAGCAGCTTTTAAATATACAGCTTGTAGTTTCATATGTAACTTTTGATGACAAAATATTAGTCTGGCCTCACATTGTCAGTGACAGTAGATGAAGTGTACTGAGTTGATCAATTTAGGTTTCCCTATATTTTGAAATGGTCAACATACTAATATATTTGATACAGCCTAATTGCTGCCAACAAAAATTCTAGGCAAAAAGATGGTAATGAAGATTGAGAGCGGAATTATGTTTTCCTTTGGCCACTAAATTTGAACAGAGTAAATTCGTTTATTTATAAGATATGTGTTGGCAGGTGATGACTGAGGGTTCCCTTGATGGGATGCCTCTTCTTGTGTATGTCTCTCGGGAGAAACGGCCTGGTCATCCACACCATTTCAAAGGAGGAGCACTGAATGCTCTTGTAAGCTCTCTTTACACCTCTGTCTTTTACGTTTGAGTGTGTTAATTTTTCTGCTACTGGTCTACAACAATAAGCATGGAATTTGCTGGATCTTCCCATTTTTGTGTTCATCTATTTCATTTTTCTTTCCCTTTTTCTAATTTTCGTTTTATCTTCACTCCCATATTATGATTTGTGTATAATGGTTTGCAGCTTCGAGTATCTGCATTAATCAGCAATGCTCCATACTTTTTGGTACTGGACTGTGACATGTACTGTGGGGATCCATCATCTGCTCGCCATGCCATGTGCTTTTATCTCGACCCCAAAATCTCTCATGAAATAGCTTGGGTTCAGTACCCTCAGAAATTCCGCAACGTGAGCGAGCATGATATCTATGATGGTCGGCTGACCCCCATTTGGGTAATTGGATCTTCAACGCTTTCACTGACAATTTGCATGGCCATGTTTTTCCTGCTTTTATAAATCTAATCTACTTATCTCAACGACGACAGAGGGAAGGGCTAGGCCTTGATGGGCTTAGAGGACCTACCATCTATGGCTGCAACTTTTTCATGACTAGGGAAGCAATCTATGGAATTGATAGGAATCTGAAGGGTACTCCTTTATACTAAATAAGGCTCACAACCTTTTACTCATAGAATTATCATAATTTAGAAGTGTTGGTACAGCATCCTTTTATTCTAACTTTAATGTTTATGCTCCCTCTTGCCCCTTAAAATTTGTGACCAGGTATCGATGTCAACCAAATGAAGAAGTCATGTGGCGCAAGCAACGAGTTCATCAAATCAGTTAACAGAAATTACCGCCCACAGCTTCCGGAGGATAGAAAGCCCTCTGAGGCATTGGAAAAAGAGCTTCAGCTGGTGGCCTCTTGTACTTATGACAATGACACAAAATGGGGCGACGTGGTAAGTATTTCTGCGACTATATTTGGAAAGTGAATGCCCTCATATGTTGTGAACTCAGGATTTAAATTATTTTCTTTCCTTTTTGTTCCCGTGTAGGTCGGTTACAAGTATTTCACTGTGGTGGAGGACTCTATTACTAGCCTCGAGTTGCACTGCAAGGGCTGGATTTCCGTTCTGCTCGATCCCGATCGGCCGTGTTTCTTGGGCTCGTGCACAACGAAGCTGAACGACATGTTGGTTCAGCAAACGCGTTGGTCTTTTGGGCTGATGCAGATTGGACTGTCGAAATACACCCCTCTTATATATGGCCCATTGAGGATGTCGGTTCTTGAGAGCATGTGTTATGGTGCACTTATACTAGATTGTCTCTATGCAGTGCCTTTTTATGGTTTAAGCATCATCCCCCCAGTTTGCCTAGCTCTCGGCATTCCTCTGTATCCCAAGGTGAGCCTTATATATAATTATATACATATAAGAGAACACTTTAAGCCCATTTTTATATATTTATTTTTTAACAAGAAAGTAGTTGCCTTTTACTATTACAAATATCTTTACATTCACCTTACTTCATCCCCCCAGTTGTTTTTCTGGAGTTATATTTTGACATAAAATATTATTTTAGTATAGAAAAACATAAAACTCATAAGAAAAAGAAAGAAAAAAAAAAAAGAAACGTATGATGCTTGCTTGACTCTTGTTGCCATTGGTTTATCATAGGTCTCGGAGCCGATGTTCCTCGTGTTTGTCTTCATCTTCATCTCGTCACAGCTGAAGCACATCCAGGAGGTTATCTCGTACGGGGATGACTTGAAGACAGCCCTTTACGAACTCAGGGTATGGATGATGAAATCGGCCTCGTGCTATTTTTTCGCCATCCTCAACGCAGTTTTGGACAGGCTTGGCCTTTTGCAGGCACACTTCACCTTAACCAACAAAGCAGTTGATGAGGATCAGGTGAAACGCTACCAGCTGGGCGTATACGATTTCCAGATATCCCCACTAATGCTCACGCCCATGTGCACTCTCTATTTACTCAACTTGGTGTGCCTTGTCCTTGGGCTCATCAAGCTGGCCAGCGCTTGGGAAGAGCTTTTCGTGCAGGCTGCACTCTCCTTGTTTGGGGTGTTAGTGAATTGGTTTTTTCTGCAGGGTATGTTTTTCAGGCTCGACAGCGGCCGGGTTTCGACGTTTGTGACTTTGATTTCTGTGTTGCTGGTGGTATCTGTGTTGGGGATTGGGTATCTGGTTACGGTTTATTAAGGTTGAATGGAAAGTGGATGTAGGTTTATTCTGGGAATTTGTGAAGAATTCTTCCCAACTTAGAATCTGAATTAGTATGAGTGGTTGGGGTGTTATCAGGTCGATACTCTTATGAACATATATTGTTTCTCCCTATTGTGCCGTTGAACGGTAGTTTTACTGATTAGCAGGAATGCATGGAAATTTCATGATTATGTCCTTGATGTTGATTGGAGGAAAATATAATCTAGTCACTGATGGATTGACAGCATTTAATAAGATAACTAGTACGTAGCCCGTGCGATGCACGGACATAAGTATTAAATGAGTCATTTTCACAGAGCTTGTCCGTTAAGTAGCTCGTGCATTAAATGAGTGGACCATAGGGCTTGTCCGTTCAGACCTAAAAAATAATAGAGTTTGATCATCTATCTTTTTACATCTTTTCATCAACGTCATTTTTTTTTGTCGGAACATTAAACCTGAGTCTGGTAGCGCAAGCTCGTAAATTAATTAATATATTATCTCGCTCACATGTTTATAATAATATAAATTTGATTTCATTATATATATATATATATTTATTCTTTGATATAAGAAAAATAACAATATTACCTAATCTTGTTCCTCGTATAATACTCATATTATTTTAATATAAAATTTATTGTAATATAATTTCATTATTATTATTTATGCAAGTTATATATGTAGTCTTCTTCTTCTTTTTGTTTTATATAATTAAAATATTTAATGTATGTTCATATTATTTATTAATGTAATTAATTTAAATTATGTAAATAAATTTAAAGTAAAACATTTTGTACAAACATTTTACAAAATATACACAAATGTTTTTTTAGAATTTAATTTTTTTATAGTAAATAAACATCTTTGAAATTCTATGCAATTATTAATTCTGTCCGATGTTATGAGAAACAAATCATTCGGAAATGATTATATGTAAGTTGAGATTAAATGAAATGTACCAAAAAAATCTGCTTATGATATTTTCCTTTAAATGTATGAATGAATTTGAAATTCAAATTACAAATTAACCTCCAGTTATTCAAATAATTTTAAAAAAGTTACCAATTGTAGTAAAATGTACGTGACAATATATTATAAATATACATGACGTTAGTAATGTTATGAATCTTAAGTTCCTAAAATATATATTGTTCAGATATGAAACTAATTAACTTATATGTTAAGAAAAAATATATAAATATATGTATTGTACGAAATATATACGCGACAAGTTATTATATTTGTTTATATATTGTTTGTATTGTTTATTATATTTGTATATAAATATATTGTTTATATATTTTTCTGTATTGTACGACAAATTATTATCTTTGTTTATATATTGTTTAAATATATATTGTTTAGATATGAAACTAATTAACCTATATGTTAAGATAATATATATAAATATATGTATTGTATGAAATCTTTAACGTGTTTGTTAAATTTTTCCCTTAAAAAATTCAAAATACATTTAGGCATTTTTGTTTGAAGTTTGAAATTTAAATATGCATCTATATAACAAATCCCATGATTTATGCTAGCATTAAATGCTACTTGATTTTTTATTAAAAAATTAAAAAAACATACCAAAAATGGAATTCAATTAATGTTCCCTATTTTTTTGCTTACTATTTTTGAAAAATGTTAATTCTTATTATATATATATAGATATGGTCAGTAAGTTTGTTGTCTGGTTCACTTTCGTAAGCGAAATCAAACTATACGGATGAAGTTCTGCTCAAGTTGGTTAGAATGAACAATTTTGAAGCTATCTGTGTTGTCTAAACTCTCTTAAAAGGAGAGTTGTTCTTTAAAAAAAATTGAATTGTAAAAAATGCTCAACATTATAGCTAATTCTAAGGTTACTAATGTAATTTTATCCTTAATGTTTAGGATTTTTTTTTTTCAACGATAAACTAGAAATTTCATAGCACTCAGAAAAATACAACGTTTGATCAAATGATCAATAACAATAATTCTTGTAACCACAAAATGAAGACACCTCCCACCCGGAGGGATATCAGTTACTCCACCTCAACTTCCCTTATGGCTAACACACAAGTCTCAATACATAACAATTCATCAACTATAAACTGACAAGAAGGAAAAGTACCAAGCAAAGTACATTAGTACCTAAGGATTCTCTTTTGTTCTGATGCTGCACCAATTTCCTTGACTTCAAGCAACAAATAATTAAATTTCTGTTCCAATGCTGAATTTTGTCCACGATCCACCTCACAGCTCTTAAGTCCAGTTCTTCCTCAATCCTAGTTACCCTCACAGTCTGTCCAAATCTGCACTCCCGTCTCTACAGTTTCTGTAATTCCTCCAAAGTCTGATTTACCCAAGATAGAGGAATGAGCACTGGCAGCCACTCTGATCTGACCTACTCCCAAAGAAAAATCACCTATTTGAGTTTGAACAATTCTAGAAGGTTCTGAAATCCTCTCCTGATCATCCACTGCAATGGAGTGATACTCTATACATTCTCTCTTTGCTCTTTCTACCACTTCCTTTTCATTGATCCATTCCCTTTTCAAGATCCAACAGTCTCTAGTCTTCCACTACCGCCAGAGTAGGTATGTGGAAAGACTGATTCTGTCTATCATGGACTTTTCAGAAGTGAAATTGCTTACCTCTTCCCACAAAGTAATGAAATTAACCTTCTCTTTTGCCAAATGATCCAAGTTTATCTCTAGCAGTTTCCAGCATTTGCTTGCTCTTGGACATTTGAAGAACATGTGGTGCAGGTCTTCTTGTTCTTCTCCACAAAGGTCACAGATTTCTTCCAGTTCCACCTTTCTTTTGATAAGTTGGTGTTTTGTACCAAGAAATTCAAACCAAGATTTCCACAGGAAATTCCCCAACTTTAGTCTTGATTGGCATCTTCCAAGTGAAATTCCAAATTTTCTTCATTCTATTATTCCCTCTATTTGATTCTGCTGTCTCCATGAGCTTCAGGGGTTGATCTAGGATGGTTCTGTAGAATTTTCTGACTCAAAATTGACCCTTGTGGGTTTACCCCTGACACCATGACGACTTAAAGGGATCTTTAATATTAATTCTGCATCATAAAAAGTAAAGGTTTGAGAAATGAGATTGTTTTGTATGTTTTTGTTGTTATATTGTGTGTTTTAAGTGTTTTATTTATGTTAGTTTTAGTTTATTTTAGGTTTTTCCCTGTTCATTTAGTGGTTTTTCTCGTTTTTGTGTTTTTCGTGTCGTTATGGTGCCATGTGCTTTTTATTTATGTTTTTATATTTTATTTTGTAGAAAAATTGCATTCTAGAGAATTGCCCAAGAAAACCCTGTCATTTTCCAACGAACGATGAGCTGTTGCCGAGAAGACCTATAGGTTTCGTGCCGGACCCGTGCCCGCTGCAGCGCGACTCACAGTCGTGTGCCTTCCTCGCATATCTCAAGATCCGTGCATATTTTCTCGTACACCAGGACATTTTCCTTGAGAAACCATACCCATAACTCGCAAAAAATACTCGTGGTTGGCCGAGGGAATCGTTGCCTATCGACGTCGTTGCCGAGATCCATCTCCCAGCACTGAGGATGCAACACGGCCACCATAACTCTCTCGCATATCTCGCGCCCGGAGCATTTTTCCTCGAACACCATGAACATTTCCTCGAAGACCATATGCATACCTCGCCGAAAACACAAAGTTTGCCGTGAGAATATGCACCAATTGCCTCCATTGATGAGACTCGTCTCTCATCGCCGAGGACGCCAGCGCACGCCCAGCAGCCCGCGTACCCGCCAGCTAGCAAACTAGTCCACCAGCACGCGAGTGCCCAGACTCGTCCACTCGCGAACCAGCAAGCATTTTGGCTACCTCGCGTCTATTGTTTAGTAAATGTGTGTGTTTTAGTGTGTTTTTGTGGTGTAACTAAATAGACTTGTTGCTTAGTATTTTAAACACACCCCCTCATTTCCCAACTTTTTAGTTGGGAAATTAGCTCTTTTTTCTCTCCTTTCTCTATGTAGTTTACGTTTGAAGCTCCAAGACTTGAGTTTTCCAGCGACTTTCCGGCGATGTCATTTTTTGTTAAAGTTTCAAGATTTTCACTCTGATTTTCTTTGAACATGCAATAAAAGAGTGAGTACTTAGTTTTAAGATTCATTACTTCGTATTTTCTCCTTTTTACTTATGAAGTTTTTCAAGATAAAACTGGTGTCTTGCATGAGAATTTGGGTAAAGCTTGGATCTTTCGATTTTTTTTTATTTTTTATTTTTTGCTTATCTAAGGTGATTAGAAGTTAATTGCGTGCTTATCTTGTGTTAAAGGTTGAGAATTTGTTAAAAGTTTGATTACTTAGGTTAGAAGGCTCGTTTTTAACATCTTAGGAATTTAATACTCGCATGTTTTTTATTTTTGTTTTTCTCGAGTTGTGGAGACTCCGTGTTAGCAAAGTTTCGGTCTTTAGTTAAAGTTCATGCCTTTATATAATTGCTTTCAATTTCGTAGATTAAATTAGTCTAAATTCAATCCTTCAATCTTACTAGAATGTTTAGGACCTTGTTTTCGATTTTTGTGCTTTAAAGGCTAGTAAGTGAATGAAGCTCCAAACAACCTTTCCCGAGAGACACGACCTGAGGTCGGAATTTATTTCGTACTCGGTTAAAACTACTCAACAAAATTGCGACTTTGCCGAGGAAGGCGAGTAGGACGCCAAGTTTACTTATTAGTTGTCGTTTGTTTATGTGTTTCTCTTGCTTTTTGTGATTTTTGCTTAATATGTGTGTTTCTCTTGATTATTTTCTTGTATTCTTTTCCTCTTGCTATTTAGTGTGTGTTTTTGTAAAAATTATGTCGTGCTATTTGTGCTTTTGTATTTTTGTGTTTTTCTTGTATTTGCATTGTTTTCATTTTGGTCTCGTGTGCCTTGGTTTGTTTTGTTGTTCTTGTGCGAGGTACCTCGCTTGAGGAGCTCCGATGGACACGTACGACTATTCTTATGCCGGAAACTCATCTCGTGGATACCCCGACAATTTCCAAAAGGAGATGTACCCACTATCTAGAGAGCTACCCCGTTCGTATCCGAGCTATTCACCTTCCTATTTTTATGATGAATACTCTACATCCCGATGATATGGCCCGAGCCATTCTTATCGGGCATCTCGAGTCAAATTTGGTTATGACATTCTGAATCATGACGAGACGCCTTACTACACTCCTTTATCTTTGGACTACTACTATTTGTTGCTCCCAATTATTGTGAAGCAATACCTCCATCCGAGCCGACTCAAGAAGTTTCTCCAAGCCGTTTAAATGAGATTATGGAGAAATTAGAGAAGTACAATCAATCTCTTCGCGCTTCAATAGCTCTCATGTCTAAAAAAAGAAGAAACCGAGTCCTATGCTCCATCCTCTTCTACATACAAGCACCAATCGGTTAGGCAACGTAGTACATCGAGGATCGAAGCATCATTTTCCACAAAGGTTGTGCCTTCTGAGTGTCACCAAGAGGTTTTGGCAAGCACACAAGAAGCGCTTGCAAGCCTCATGTCGATCGTCGATGAGTTTCATAGTTGGAGTTGTATACCCATTCAATCCGTTCATCAAGCGACACTCACGATATTCGACTCTACCGTGGTTGTTTTTCTCGACTTGGATGCATCTCATATTCCGCTTGGGAGATATTGTTCACTATCAGCAAGGATTATTCAGGAGAGTACCCGGTTAGAGGGTGAGTTTCGTGTTGGGTTCTATGAAGAACATCGTCCTCATGCACATTCGAATCTATTAAAAATAAATCTTAAGCAGCGGAATATACTGTTAGTATTATGACTTACAATTTAAAATTTTCCAACTCTGAGACGTTTCTGATTTTTGCTATTAGAGATCGTCTGAACATCAGAGTCCGTTGGGTTGCCTGACTTGGCCTCACCTGCACCGACATTGGCCGTCTCACATCTCCAGTCACTTGCTTCTCGCGTCGGACCGTCTTAGACCTCCGGTGGCTTGTTCGAACTGCTCCGAGGTCACAGTGGGCTCGCTGGAGCTTTTAGAGTGAGCTGGATTGGTTTGGACCGCTTCTGGACCGCACTGGGCTGGGTCTGGTGCGCTGCTTGCAAACTGGGTCGGGTCTGGTCGGCTGCTTGCTGACTGGGTTACGCTCGGTGCGCCTGATGGGTTTGGGAGCACACGGGCCGGGTCTGGTCGGCTGCTTGCTGACTGGGTTACGTTGGGCAGGCCTGATGGGTCTGAGAGCAAACAAGACGCGTAGCACACGCGGGCACTGGGCCTTGAACGACACGAATCGCTAGAACTTCACGCACGGGAGCACTGGGAAGCACGCGGGTCGTGCAAAGAGTTCGCGAAGCTCGCAGTCGAGTCGCGCACGACAACGAGGGTCGCGCAGGCACATTGGCGAACTATCGGGCATCAAGAAGAGCATGCGAGTCGCACAAGGAGTGCACGGGCAGTGCGCGGGTCGCTGTGGGTCTGCTGTCTGCTTTCGCGGTGGAACGGGTCTCCGCAGGTCTAGGCGCGGCTGAGCGGGGCCAGAGCCTAGCTGTGCGCGGTTGACTCCGACAGGTGTGGGATGACGATCCCCGGGTTCCGGTGGTCTGAATTCTAGATTTTCGTGAAGAACAGACAACCCCGTGAATTACAGAAACTTTGCGGAGTTCGAATATATTGCATGGGATACGAATAAAAGACCAAAAGATTTTCTACTATATTACCCAAAACAAGTTCTCCGAACGATCATGGTGGAGTGATCGAACGAATCTCTCAAATCTGAAAGACACTCAAGAAACAAGCAAAATCCCAACGGATCTCTCAAGGGAGAGAAGCCGTGCGTGTGTTTATGATCTATCTTGTGTTTTGAGGCTTGAGACTTGGTATATTTATAGGGCCACAGCAGAGACCCTAAGGAGGTGTTAAATATGAGATTACCAAGCATGAGCCCAACTGCGGGTCTAACCTACTCCACTCAATACTCGAATAATAAATCATTCCACCATAGAAATATTATTAAACTCTCAATTTAACTCCGAACTACAATTAATTCATTTCCCTATATATTGCTCAATTTACATCCCCGTATTTAAGATTTAATGTCCGTTGATTAATTAAATTATCGACAATGAAATTACTCAACTTCTCGAATCCAAAACCACCCAATTATTTATTATTATTTCCGAAATTAGGCCGCGCTTGACATAATAATGCTTCTTGAGCTCATTTCGGGGACGTCATAAACCCAGTCTTTTCCAGGATACGGTGATCGTAAACAATATCGACGGTGCATCATGCAACTGACATTACCCAGTCTTTTCCAGGATACGGTGACCGTAAACAATATCGACGGCACATCATGCAACTGACATTACTTGCCAAAATATCGAGTATATCGACCTACCAGAGTAAGTCTCACCCATGATAAATCAAATATGTAAATACCGACTACATATGTCTGTACATTCTCTTACGGGTTAAGAATATGCATCAAACACTGATACTTAAAAAGAATTGTTAAGTAACACAAAGTTGAGCTTTTTCTAGTAAACTTCAACAATCTCCCACTTATACTTAAAAGCACTCGGCTTTTCAATGCATACACTCTTTCAATCCTTATTCTCAAATAACTGTTGCCCTCACTGCCATAAATCTGACTCTCAATCCCTTAATATGGTCATCATCCGCTTTCGCCAGAAAGCCAATTCTAAAAGGATCCACTTGGTCGTCTACTGATGTAACTAGGCGACAAACATCCACCCATTTGCGATCATTCGCAGTGGGTCATACTTGCTCTATGCGCTTACTTGCCTAATGAACTTGTGATTGCTCTCTGTTTGCAACTGCACCAACTGTCATGATTTGACTTGGAAAAACGAGATTTCACTTACCTAGTCCAATAGAGGTTCAAGGAGTCAAACTGCTTCCAAACCTTTGGCTCCACCCCACAAGTAAACACAAATCACGAGATGGATTTTATTTATTGTTCACTTAGAAATCAGAATCCTTTGTAATCTAAAGGCTGCATTCGGTTCTTTTGGTAACCTTACATATTATCCTTAGCACAATTACAATAGCATGATCATATGTTCTACTATGAACCAACTGCGCCCTTCTAGGATTAATTCGATATCTCGTAACTATGCCCATGATAATAATAGACTCTCACAGGCGTGCTGAATCTGAAAATCCACAGTCACCCTGCAGAGAAACACAAAAAACACTGAAAACCAGGAAAAGACAAAATCCCTAAAATAGAACTAAAGAGAAAACCCTAGAAACATGGCCTCAACGAACCCCCAACACAAGGCAGATAAAGCAGCAAGAAGAGCGACACAAGGAAAGTAAACAAGAACAGGCTGAGATTAGAGATTTGCTATCTAATTCATGGAACTAAAAAACCCTAGAAAGAGGCGATTCTCCAATTCATGGAACTTTTAAAACAGGAGTCTCAAACCAAGATTCTTCTTGCTATTCTACAAATGTTTGGTTTCATAAATGTTGCATCCAATGTTTATTGCATTTGCCTTCACTTTCATCTCATCACAAATCAAGCACGTGGAGCAGGCCTATCATACGGTCGGACATTCTTGACATCACTTTTGAGATGCACATGTGGATGATGAATGAAGCTGCGTTTGCTAGGGTTTTTTCACGAGGTTACGAGATTCA